GGAAAGTATAGTTCTTATTAAGTTTTCTACCATTTTTTCTTAATTAGAGTTTTTTATCTAGCTAATCTCCTTAATTAGAGCGTCCATAAATTAATGTACCTTTTCTATTTGTTCTGCCTCATGAGAAAAGGGATAGTAATTTAAGTATGGGTATTTTAAATCTTTATGTTACAGTCAGTGCTGGAACTTTGAGTCAGCGGGCCTGCCCAAAATTTAGGCTCAGCGGGCAGGCCCATAAAGGCCCCTCGTTCAAGCAAGTTTTCGAGCTCGGGCTCGGGCTGCCCAAGAAAAGTCAGAATCGCCAAAGCTCGCCGCCGACGAAAGCCCCCGACCGTTGACTGCTGATTTTTTTTTATTTTTTTCCCTCTGGCCCGAATTGCCTGAAGCCCGATCAACGTCAATTTTTTTGACCGTTGGCGCCCAACCCGAACTGCCGTCTGAAAGCTCGACCACCAACGGCTCTTTTTTTTACCGTTGCCCGATTTCAGCCCTAACTCGACCCGCCGATGACAAAAAATAGCTGTTGGAACTGAATTTGGGGGGAAAAAATAAGTTTTTAACCCAAAAATTTCTCTATAAGTACCTCACCATCCCCCAAAGATTTTCCTCACCTAAACTCTCTCAATCTCTTTCAATTTCTCTCAATCTCTCTCAATTTCTCTCAATCTCTCCCAATCTCTCAAATCTCTCTCACAATTTTTCCAAAAACTTGTGATTTTAATCTTAATTATAGTTCTTATATAATTTTTACAATAAATATCTTAATAATTATTTATATACAAATACAATTAATAAATAATATTATATAGTAAATATGATAATAGGTTTAGAAACACCGCTTCTGGATATTATATATTATAAAATATATATAAAAATTCGGGCAGCCCGAAGCCCGTTCAAGGTGGTGGTTAGGCTCGGGTGGGCAGCCTAAATTTCTCGGGCGGGCGGGCTAGGGTAACTGGTACAAGTTTGGTTTTTTCAGACAGTTGTAGACGGCCCGTCTAAAATTTCAACACTAGTTACAGTATTATCTTTTAAAAAATTTAAAGTTTTGATTAAATTTTTAAGTTAAAACCTATAAACCAAACGATACCACAATAATACTCAATACGTGGGTATCATTTTTATTTTTTTATTTTTTTTACGCCACACACGAAGGAGCAATACTACAGTATTTCTCTTCCAAGCACTTAATATGCAATTTATTTAATTATTTTAGAAAAATCCAAAAAAGAATATCATTTTAATAAGTTTGCCAATCTAAGTTCATAAAATAACTATCTTACGATAACACGACAATTAGGATAACTTTTTTTGCGATCCATTTCCGCTTACTTTAATGGATAAAGTGAAAGCCTACGATTCTCTACCGAAGGTAACTTATCTTGTGATAGTACAATCGATAGAATAATTTTCTTTATAATTCATTCCCATGTTACTTTAATTGAGAAAGTGAATTCCCCAATTTCCTGTTGAAAAATAACTTAGCTTGTGATAACACGATAATCAGGACTTCTTTTGCAATCTATTCCCATAGAAAATGAAATTCTATGATTCCTCACTTAAGATTACTTGTCTCATGATAACATAAAATTTAAGGCCCGTTTAGTTCGCTTATTCGAGTTTTTAATTCGAGTTGAGATGTGACGTTATGTGAGAGCTTTTTACTGTAGCAAAAAAGTTAGATGTAACTGTTTCTGAGAGTTTTTTACTATAACAAAACTCAAATTCTAAACTCGAATTGGCGAAATGAACGAGGCTAACACTTTTTCAATGGCACTTACACTTCAAAAAAGTGAAATTCTTCCCCCACGAACCGTTTTTGTATAAGACGACCTCTCCCAAAGCCTAAACCCATCGTTTTGCTACGCCGCGTAAATGGGTTTCTGCAGTGGATCCAAGTCAAGTTCAAGGACCATCTGAGGAGTATGCTTTGACATGGGCCATGAATTGAAGTTGGTTTCTCGAACCCCTTGAACTTTTTAGACCGAGAGAATGTCAGAAATCCCATAAAAAAATAATATTTATATCGACTCTCTACTCAAAAATAACTAATTATTATTCAATTAATAAAAAAAATAACTATCATAACATTTAATTATTTAGAACAATATAAATAATATTATAATAGTCTTGAATAAAATCACAACCAACCATATAATTTTCTCTTTCTATTTAGATATATAACAAATTTTTACTAATCATCTTGAAATATATGAAAACATTTAGAATATTTGAAAAATACAAAATTAAGTATTATTAAATAACTACTATGCAATGTTGTTTTATAAAAGCGAATGTCGGTAAAATAATTACTATATAATTTTTGTTGAAACTTGTGCCTGTTTGGTTCCGTTTTCAAAAACGTTTTCCAAGAACAAAAAAATAAAAATGCTCTGGCGAAGGCGTTTGGCATGCATTTCTTGAAAAACAGAAAATGAAAACGTTTTTCATTTGTTTCCAAAAAGTGAGCAAAACTGAAAATGACTCTGAGTCGTTTTCAGTTTTCCATTTTCATTTTCTTTACCCTGGACCACTTTTCACCCCCCTGCTCTTCTTCTCCGATCTCCCTCAACCCCCCCTTTCCTCCGATTTCCCATTTTCATTTTCCCCCTCCTCATCCGACTCCGCCGCCGCCCCTTCTTCCACCTCACCAGAGTCGGAACCCTGGACGACGATGACGATCACAGCCGAAGAAACACACCAAAATTATTTCTCCGAAATCCATTTCTTCATTTTCAGAAACTACCCATTTCTGAAAACGAGATTGTTTTCTGAAAATAAATAATGTTTATTTAATATATTTATTTCATATATTTAATAATATTATTTATTTAATATATTATTATTTTAAATATTATTACATGTTTTTAAAAATTAAACCACCAAACACAATTTCAGTTTTTTTAAACTGAAAATAATCTCAGAATAAAACTACCAAATGCATTTTCAGAAATGATTCCAAAATAAAAATGAAAACGTTTTCGTTTTCATTTTCATACAAAAAATAAAATTATTTTAGAACGAACTCTAAACGCACACTTAGTTTTTTAAAACGCTATTTTAAAACTCTGCCCTCATAAATTTATCATGTATTATCATTTTTACTTTTTGACTCGCCGCCAAGATAAATGATTGATAGAGAAAGAAAGACACATCCTCTTACCTTGGGTAACCAGAAATCCGCATCCTCCCCCAAATATGCATGCTTGTCTTTGGAGACCCATATATGACGAAGCTATCTTCGGTGACCCAAATAATCCAAAAGGCATAAAAAGACCAAGATCCACACTCTAGAAACCCTCTATCAATCACAAGATTCCGGACACTACGGTGGGAATTTTTGAAGTTTAAAGACAAAATAAGAATGACGCTTCACAACTTTGACATTTGAGTTTTAAGGGTCTGATTCGAATTGAGATGTGACTTTATATGAAAATTTTTTATTATAGTAAAAAATTTAAATGTGATTATTTCTAAGAGCTTTTTACTGTAACAAAACTCAAATTCTAAACTCAAATCCGTAAAATGGACGAGACTTTAATTATCGTCTAATAATAAAGCCATTATTAATTGGACCTTATTTTTAAGAAGGGGAATTGTAACATATAAGTCATTTATTTAAACTATTTGCAGTAAATAACATATTTACTAACAGGGAAAATAAGTAACATATTTTAAAATTTTAGTATAACAAGTAACATATTTTAAAATTGTAGTATATGATGTTTTAATTTTACCCTTATTTTATGTGGTACATGCTTTATTTACCACAAACTTTAATTGCCGTATTTTGATAAATAATATATTTATCATAAAGGAATTTACTGTTGGTTCATTTATTGCGTAAACACTTGCGCCTCGTTCATTTCGCTGATTTGAGTTTAGAATTTAAATTTTTTTATAGTAAAAAGTTCTCACAAACAATCATATCTAATTTTTTTGCTACAGTAAAAAGCTCTCACATAAAATCACATCTCAACTCGAATTAAAAACTCAAATCAACGAACTAAACGGGCCATTGATTTACCAAATTAAACAGAATCTGTTTATTATTAAATTGAGCATTTACCAACATCAGACACACAGAGCAAAACCCAGAAACTCTCTATCAACCTCTCCTTTCTCTTTCCTCTCCCTCTATCTGTAAATCTTGGCTCTATGAATTGCAAACAATTATATGTACATATATTATCGATTAGCTAGCTCATAAGCAAAAATATTGGAATACTACACTAGATGGAGGCAGATCGCTCATCTTCAACGCCGAGTAAAGTATTTTTTTTCTTATCAATCTCTGGCACAATCTCCTATGCGACAACAATCCTCAATCTTGGTTGCATCGACGATAGTTTCTTGGGACTTTTGATGGGAAGAGAGAAATCGATGGCGAGAGAGGCCGACGACTAGATAGGAAGCGAGGAAATAGATAATTCCAGCTTTTAATTCTAATTTTTAATTCACTAATTTAAATTTTTAATCTTATTTTTAATTTTAATTTTATTATAATTAAAAATTTTTAAAAATAATTATATTTAATTTTTTTATTATAATTAAAATTTTTTACATAAAATCACATTTTAATATAATTAATAACAATTCACGAATTAAACGAAAGAAGAGAGATATAGAGCGTAGATGACGGAAAGGAGAGAGAAAATGAATCTATAAAGTCAAAAGTAGGGGTATTTTTGCTATTCTCATAATGTAATAAATAATATTTATTAAAATTATACTATTTATTAATTTGTTTAAGACTTTATGTTCTAAAAATGCTATTTTTTTCCGTCTCCATTTTGAGAATGGTTAAATTCAGGTTCATACCAAAACTAAATCAAACTTACAAACGACAACAGATTCAATATTTTTTTTTTTAATGGAACGACAACAAATTGAATATCAAACTTACGAATTCAAGATGTATTGGTGCAAAACACCAAAACTACCCTTATTTATTGGCTGTAATATTAATATAATAAAATTGAGGGGTGTGGCTGTAATATATTTCCTTTCCCTTTTTCCCTCTCTTGTGAGCGGCCGGTTTGTAGAGAAATTCCGGTTAATTTGGGTAGAGTGTGAGCGTGATCAATGACTTCCATTTCAAAGAAGCGCCCAAAACCCAAGTCTTCGGGCTCTTCAAATTCTTCGCTCAAATCAGTCTCTCTCTGGGAACCACCCGATGATTTGTTTCCCTCCAAAGACGACATCTTCAGGCTCGTCACCGCCGTGGCGATCGCCGTCTCCGTCTTCTTAAGCTGCAGCTTCTTCTTCTCCGCTCGTCACCCAAAGCCCTTCTGCGATAGCGCCTCTGACGCCTCGGATTTTCTCTCTGGTGGGTCTTTTCTCTCTTTCTCGGAAAACCCGGGAAAGTTGCAAAAAATTCAAATTTTCTCCCCTCTCGTGATTTTGGGTTCAGATTATTTATGGTTCTTGCTTAACTTGTTCTGTTCTTTCAAAATGTTATTTTGTTTACTATTTGTGATGTGGGTTTTAGCTTTTAGGCTCGTTGTTATATATATATAAAATAATTTCAGAACATTAACTCAAATCTCAAATTTTTATATACTAACATGTAGTAACATATAAATTGTCATTTTTACATTAATACGTTTTTAAAATATGAACACGTCAATTAATAATATTAGATTGTATCTACTGATTTAAAAATGACAACTCATTACAAAATTAGATTTGAATTAATATCTCTAGCATTACTTATATATAAGACTTTGTCTACGGTTTATCCGTCCCGTAACATATGTAATTAGAAACCTAATATTGTAGTTATTTAACTTAATACATATATTTTTTAAGATAACATGGCAATTATTTAAGGTAACATGAACACTAGAAAGACATAACACCAAGAATTTTAAATATCTCGTGCTATTATTATACTTTAATTTGGTTGTTTAACATAATAAAGATGATAGAAAGGTGTAAGAATAGTCAGAGATAATTAAATATCTTGATATCTTACTTTTTTAATATCAGTACTACGTTGAATAAGTACCATGTTACGTTGTATAATTCTATATGTTACGTTGGAGGGATTGTCCCTCCAACTGAAGAAAAAATATATATAAAGGTCATAGAAATGGGGGTGTCATATCCACATAGTTATTGGTTGTTTGATAGAAATTTTTGTTTGAAAGTGATTTTTACTTTGTAGTAATGAAGCCAAGTTGAGAAGATAGTCAGCTTTTGGACATAGATTACCTGTGGGCAAAATGCATATGTTTGAAGTTTGAACATCATAAACAGCAGTGAAATATTCAATATTTTTCATGTCACAAATAGGCGTGCTGATTATTAAATAGGAAAATGATAAATATAAGACTATGAAACTAAAATTTAGGGGTAGAAAAATGTGGGACAAAACAGTAATTTCAGTTTTACAGATTCCATTGAACTTTGGCACATATGCATTCATGATATGTATCATTGCTCGATTGAATAACCATAGCTTGATTAGAAACTTATGTTTTGGCGTTCAATTTATTTTTCCCCTTCTTGAGCAATGGGTTGAAGCATTACATGCTTTTCTTGTACTGATGTTACATTATCACAGATAATTGTGAACCTTGCCCAAATAATGGGCAATGTTATCAAGGCAAGTTGGAGTGTGTTCGAGGATATAGGAAGCACGGAAATTTATGTGTTGAAGATGGGGATATTAACCAAACAGCTAAGAAACTTGTGAGTTTCAAAACCCTTATTCCTTCTGGTCGATTAATATTCTCGAATTCAAAACAACCTTTCTTTACCTCTGAATCTTTCTTTTTATTTTGCAGTTTTGCTAATGCAAACTTCTGTCTAATGTGATTGCAGTCGCAGTGGGTACAGCTTCGACTTTGCGAATCTTATGCTCAATATTTGTGTGGTGGGACTGGGATGATTTGGGTTTGTCACCTTTGAAACTCGCTGTATGGATGTTTATGTTCTGATTCTGAATGCAAGAATGCTCGAGTTGTCTTTGCTGACATGTTCAAATCTGAATAAATGCTTAAGGTTCCGGAGAATGATATGTGGAGTGTCTTAGATGGGGACAAGTTGACAGAATATGTTGGCTCGTACAATGCCGTAAATAACTACACAAAGCATAAAGGAATGGAAACCATTGGTAAAGTATTAGAGACTAGGACAAATTCTCAAGGGTATGCTATTCGATTTTTGAGCCTGGGATTTGCAAAAGGCAGCGTGTTCTTTGTTGGGAATTGGGATATTGATTGGTATCTATCACTCATTCATCAGTTTTTTAATATGTGTACAGGGTCAGAGAGTTCAAGTGTCCTGATGTTCTTGTAGAAAGCTACAAACCATTTTCCTGTCGCGTGCATCAATGGATCTCCAACAATGTGCTAGTGATCTTGCCAGTTTGTGTGCTGGTACTGCATTTGGAAGCGCCTTTATGTGTTTATGTTTAATGCGTTGACACTTGCTAACAGTATTAACATATGCAGATTGCGGGATTCTTATTTCTTGTCATGAAGGTCCGGCAGAGGTTATATCTGTTAAAAAGAGTTGATGAGCTTTATCAACAGGTATAAAAGCCACTTGCACATTAACTACTCATTTGGTTACTTCCTCTATGTTATGTTCTTTTGGAGGCCAGCATCCTCCATATGTCCATTCTCTGATATACAAACTGATCTCACTTCTCCTGTTGTGTATTTAGTAGTGCATCTCGGATAGAACATCTATTAATGATAGATCTCTAATGGTTAATGAATGTGACCGTGAGTTCAAGGGCCTATCCAAGAACAGTTAAATAAGACTAGGCAAATGGAAGCTGAACTATATCAGTTTGTTAGTTCACTGGATTCTAGTTTTTGCTATGCGCTCCTTAGTGTTGACTAATCCGTTTCCTCTTAAACTTCCATGAGGAACGGAGCTTGTTGTTCTTCCTCAGAGTACTAGCCTTAGTTTGACTGAATTCCGAAATAGAGCCTAGTAACGCATGAATTCTAAGAAAAGTAGGTACTTTGTGTACCGCACAATTTAGATGTCATTCTAAGTGCATTTTCACATTGAGTGTGATATTTGATGCCACAAAAAACTTCATCCACCATCTACAAATGAAATATACCTTAGTTCTATCCATATTTAGGTTAGATATGTCCAGATTTTTTATTTGAATAGACATGCACCGCTTTTTCCCCATTTGATGGCTTTTCACAATTTTATAGGTTTGTGAAATACTTGAAGAGAACGCCTTGACGTCAAAGGGAAGAAAGGGAGAACTTGAATCCTGGGTTGTTGCCTCTAGGTTGCGGGATCATCTTCTTTCACCTAAAGAGAGGAAGAAACCTGCGTTATGGAAGATGGTATTATGCAATGCTCTCTGTAATTTGATCATATTATAGCTTCAATGATCAGTTTATTTCTTCCACTTGCGATATGCATCACCCTTTTGATACATCCACGGTGACGAAAGCAATATTTTAGTGGAACTAAAAGTGTTTTGTGGGTTCCATTAAAAAAAAAAAATAAAGAAACGCTTTCTGGGACATGAGACTGGTTCAAGTGGTTGGGTGCATGACTGTGTGCATGTGTCCATCAGGGTTTGAATCTGATAAGTTCAAAAGACAATTTAGTTCCGCTAGAGCCAAACAACACAGAAGATTGCACACAACAAGCTCAATCTCAGGCTTGCACGTCGAATTACTGGCGAAAATCAACAGAATTACAGAAATGGAAAACAGAGACAAGTATGGGGGTTTTCGAGAGACCCCTTGCACTCCCTAATCAAATTGTCTAAGACGTTTTTGAGAGAATGTAATGAATGAATCTAATCTGCCTTAGCTAAGCTTATTTATACTATTTCTATGTCTAGTAACTAACTCTCTCTAACAAACCAGCCTAACCGACTGACTATAAGCCATCCCCCTTCTCAGCCTCCCCCCAAACTTGCCAGCTCAGCCTCTGGACAATCCACCTCATCTTCGCCAAAGGCCTTTCCTCGTTGACTCGTATCCCCACTGTCAACCTCTGCTCCAGCCCCATTTCTCTTTCGAATCCTCCTCTGTACGTAAGTAAAACACACCGGAGGTTTATCATTACTCCCGCCCCAAAGATGCACCTTGTCCTCAAGGTGGAAATGAGGAAACTGGCAGTCGATAGCCTCGTAGGACTCCTAAGTCGCCTCATGCTCCGGAAGCTGCTCCCAGCGGATCAACACTTCAGACTCAGAATGGCCCCCAGTCACACATTGGCGCACACCCAGTAAGGCCTCTGGTACAACGCGCAACTCCAAATCACTCGACAACTAGAGGGGTATCGAAGACACAGCCTGTTCATGGCCCAGAGCACGGCGTAGTTGGGAAACTTGAAAGACCGGATGAATGGCAACCTCCTCTGGCAAGGCAAGACGATACGCCACAGGGCCAACCCGGGCAGTGATAGCATAGGGACCATAGAAATGTGGGCTTAATTTCTCATTTTGACGACCTGCCAAGGACACCTGACGATAAGGACACAGCCTGAGGTAAACTAAATCTCCCACCCCAAACTGCACATCCCGGCGTTTACCATCAGCCACCGCCTTCATACGCTGCTGAGCGCGGAGCAAATGAGATTTCAGTAAATCCAGCATGGCGTCCCGGTCCTGTAGCTGCTGATCCACTGAGTCTACTACAGATGCCCCAAGTCCATAACGCAGCAGTGGAGGTGGAGCACGGCCATAGACCACCTGAAAAGGAGTAGTGCGCGCCGAGGTATGGAAAGAGGTGTTATACCAATATTCGGACCAAGCTAACCATCGGTGCCATTTTCTCGGTTTGTCCGATGTAAAACAACGCAAATAAGTCTCGACACACCGGTTCACCACCTCCGTTTGTCCATCCGTCTGTGGATGGTAAGCGGTACTGCGTGCAAGAGTAGTGCCCATCTGCTCGTGAAGCTTCGTCTAAAAGTGGATGAGAAATATACGGTCACGGTCAAATACGATGGTTCACAGGACCCCATGGAGGCGGACCACCTCCCGAATGAAAACCCTGGCCACCACTTCAGCCGAGAAAGGATGCTTCATAGCAATGAAATGCCCATATTTACTAAGCATGTCCACCACGACTAGGATCGTGTCAAAACCTTCCAAACGGGGCAACCCCTCAATGAAATCCATTGAAATATCCTCCCACACTCATTCCGGAATAGGCAGTGGCTGTAACAAGCCACTAGGAGCTAATGTAGAAGCCTTGCAATGCTGGCAAACATCACACGCAGCCACATATGAGGTTATATCCTTTTTCATCCCCCATCAAAACCAATCCGCTGCCAAGCGGCGGTATGTCTTAAGGACCCCTGAATGACCTCCCACAACACCATCATGATACGCGTGCAGCAACTTAGGAATGTGAGGCGAGTCCCTAGGCACTACCATTCGTCCCCCAAACATTAGCCGCCCCTGCACCAGAGAATAACCAGGATAAGCCTCTGACTGGGATTGTAAGGCCGTGACAATGCTTCCTAGCTGCTCATCCTGCAATACGTGTTGCTGCAGAGCTTGCGTGTCTACAATAGAGGAAACCAGCAAAGTACTCAATTCTGGTGAATGAACAACATGAGAGAGAGCATCCGCGGCACGATTCTCTAGCCCGGGGTTGTATTGAATTTTGAAATCATACCCCAACAATTTAGTAAGCCATTTCTAGTGCTCCACACTCACAAGACGTTGTTCCAACAAATATTTCAGACTTTGCTGGTTAGTGCGAATCACAAAATGGCAGCCCAGCAAATACGGTCGCCACTTTTGCACTGCCAACACAATGGCCATTAATTCCCTCTCATACACCGACTTCCCTTGAGCCCACGACGACAAGGCTTGGCTAAAATATGCAATGGGCCGTTGGTCCTGCATTAATACCGCTCCAACGCCAAACCCGGAAGCATCCGTTTCAAGCACAAAAGGTTTTGTAAAGTCCGGAAGAGCTAAAACCGAGACTGAAGACATAGCCCTTTTTAAACAAGAGAAAGCCTGTTCGGCTTCCCCAGTCCACTGAAAACCATCATTCCGGAGTAAATTTGTTAAGGGCCCTGCGATGTGGCTATATCCAGCCACGAACTTCCTGTAATACCCCGTCAACCCCAAAAAAAACCCTCAAATCACGCAACGTAGCCAGGATTGGCCACTTCAACATTGCTTCAATCTTGGTTTGGTCGGCTGACACTCCTTTACTCGAGACAATGTGTCCTAAATATTCTAGGGACTGCTGGCCAAAACTACACTTCTTTGCATTAGCAAAAAGTGTGTGCTGCTGTAAAATTGCCAACACTTGATCCAAGTGATGTACATGTTCCTCCAACGTCCGACTATAGACAAGAATGTCATCGAAAAAAACTAGGACGAACTTACGGAGGAATGCTCGCAGCACTTCATTCATAAGTGACTGGAAGGTTGTGGGAGCATTGGTGAGCCCAAACGGCATCACCAAAAACTCGTAATGGCCGTCATGTGTGTGAAAAGCAGTTTTGGGCACATCCTCCTACCTGACTCTAATCTGATGGTATCCCGACTTAAGGTCAATTTTGGAAAAAATTGCCGCCCCGTGAAGCTCGTCAAGAAGTTCATCAATGATCGGAATAGGAAAACGGTCTGGCACCGTTTCTTTATTTAAAGCTCGGTAGTCCACACAAAATCGCCAACTCCCGTCTTTTTTTTTAACCCACAGCACGGGATTGGAATTCGGACTCACACTAGGCAGAATAATTCCAGCAGCCAAACATCTCTCCGACCAACTTCTCAATCTCTTCTTTTTGCACCTGCGGGTACCGATATGGCTGAACATTAATCGGAGAGGTCCCTGCCTTAAGTACTATCGCATGATCTTTTGCTCGCTCCGGAGGTAAATGTGCAGGCATTTCAAACACTGATGCCCTACGACGTAGCACCTCTTCCAACACTTCAGGTGTCTCCCACTGACCCTCTAAGGCGCCCAACTCCATGTTGTTCCACTCAAGCCACATCCCCTGCCCTTCATGGCTAAACGCCCTCTGCAAGGCTTTCAAGAACACCGACGTTCTGTTTAGTCCAGGGTCTCCTTTCAGAGTCACTTGGCGGTTTCCCACCGTGAACTTCATAGTCAGATTTTTCCAGTTTACTGTCATATCCCCAAGGGTTTCCAACCACTGGACAACCCAGTTCCCATTATCACCCCATAGTCCCCAGTTCGGTCCACAGTCATCTCCATTTTCTCACTAATTCAGCAGAGATGAAGTTATGTGTGGCACCACTATCTATCAAAACTATTACTTCGTTTCCTCGTAACCTACCTTTGAGTTTCATGGTCTTTGGTGATGTGAATCCGACCACCGAGTTGAGGGATAGTTCCACCACCTCCTCCTCCGTCCCAGGCTCAGATCCATCTTCTTGTGCCTCTCTGCCCCCTCCTCTTCTTCGCGAACAATGAGCACCTGCAACTCCCGGTTGGGGCAACGGTGTCCAAAAAAGTACTTCCCATCACAATGATAGCACAGACCCTTCTCTCTCTTCTTTTGTATCTCTGCATCGGTGAGTTGCCTGTACGGCGCCACCCCACTGGGGGAATCCTTGGTCTTCTCGGCTGGCACCGACATTCGCTCTGTGACCCCAGAAGAGTTTGTTGTTCTTGACCCTCCACCCAACGATGGTCCACTCCTCAGCGCAGGCCCAGGAAAAATTGTACTACTCCTATTCCAAGAGTTCCCTGAAGACGTTTGGGCCTTGGGCCCGCGTACCAATTGGTTACGCTCCTCAACCCGTTGGGGGAACTCCATTATTCGGCCCAATCCGTTGGGTTTCAACATACGTATTTCTGCTCTCACCTCTGGTTTCAATCCGTTCACAAACGCACTTGCTCTGGAATCTCCGTTAATGGCGCAGCCAGCATCTCAAATTGCCGGCAATACTCCTTGACCGTAGTCTCCTGGCGCAGCGACAAAAATTTTTTACAGAGAGTTCCTTCCTGTGTCAAACGGAAACGCCCCAACACAAGGCGTTTCATCTCCGTCCAGTCCCGGATCGCCCGCCTCCGATCTTCCCGTTGGAACTAGGCCAGGGCTTCCCCCTCTAGACTCACTACCGCCACGTCTAATTTCTCCAGCTCCGACAGCCTATTCATGGAGAAATACCGCTCTCCCCTAAAAATCCAGCCATCCAGATTCTCTCCATCGAAAACCGGTATCTCTACCCTCCGAGTACGAAATTCCGTACGTACTCTTCGCGCCAATCAGCCGGTCATCCCCCCCATATCCGCCGTCGGCACCGACTGTTCTGCCGGAATTCCATCTTCCGCCTCCGGCGACGCCCGATCCGCCGCCCCTCGCTATTTCAACAGCTCATCCATTCTTGTCAGCAACAACTCGAGCCCTTGCTCCAATCGAGGAATTTTTCCAAGATCTTCACGCATCGATTCTACCTCCTTCAACAATTCCTCCCTACTTACCTCCGTTCGCTCCTTATCCCGATCGTCCGATCTCCTTGTCATCCCGGGAAAGTGCTCTGATACCAATTGATAAGTTCGAAAGACAATTTAGTTCCGCTAGAGCCAAACAACACAGAAGATTGCACACAACAAGCTCAATCTCAGGCTTGCACGTCGAATTATTGGCGAAAATCTACAGAATTACAGAAATGGAAAACAGAGACAGGTATGGGGGTTTTCGAGAGACCCATTGCACTCCCTAATCAAATTGTCTAAGACGTTTTTGAGAGAATGTAATGAATGAATCTAATCTGCCTTAGCTAAGCTTATTTATACTATTTCTATGTCTAGTAACTAACTTTCTCTAACAAACCAGCCTAACCGACTGACTATAAGCCATCCCCCTTCTCAGCCTCCCCCCAAACTTGCCAGCTCAGCCTCTGGACAATCCAGCTCATCTTCACCAAAGGCCTTTCCTCGCTAACTCGCATCCCCACTGTCAACCTCTGCTCCAGCCCCATTTCTCTTTCGAATCCTCCTCCGTACGTAAGTAAAACGCACCGGAGGTTTATCAGAATCCCCGTGGTTTTATTTCTTCTTAAAAAAAAAAAAAAATTTTGCTACGTGGGACAAACAAAGTTGATGTGCGGATGTGTTTCAGTATGCTCATTTTGAAATATTGACCTTTCTCATGGAATTGGAATCTTTTGTGAACTTTAACCAATTTTTTTAATTCAAAATCCTTTTTAACTTAGAAGTTTCTCGAGCAGCTTCCTTTATCATCGCTGTGGTGTACGACTAATGCTTGATTGTTCTATGGTAATGCAACAATTTTGACCCTTCTCTGTTCTCTTCTTGCTTACTTGCTTGAGTCAAGTCACTGCTCCAATTCGGTATGTTGGTGGCTTGTTGTTGATCTTTGTTGTTTCCTGCCCTCCTTTGTCTATACATGATTGGAGATCATGGAGAGCATACATATAGGACTTCAACTTCTTAAAAAGAACTGAACCGAACTAAGCATGGGGAAAAAATAATATACTGAGCATATTGAATGTCATCATAAATTGCTCAGAGACAAGGAGTTGTTCTTTTCTTACTAACTGCTTTCTTTTATCCCATTGTATTGGACATGCATGAATCAAAGTCTTCTTATACTTTGCCAATTCCATAGGAATCTATTCTGATAGATAAGTTTCTGTAGTGACTTCCATTATATACGCAGGTTGAGGAGTTGGTGCAGGGAGATTCTCGTGTAGAACGTTATCCGAAGCTCGTTAAGGGTGAATCTAAAGTGGTGTGGGAATGGCAAGGTAGGTAATACTAATGTGTTTTTCTTTTCTTCTATTCCATGTTCTGGTTTATTACTACCTGAGTTTCATCATTTTATGACTTTAGTGTATAAAAGATGCTAACCACATCTGGAAAAGTTTGTAAAAGAAGGGACTTGTTGTTAAACAATATTGTTATTCACTTTATTATCTAACTTCCAATATTTAAATTACACTTTTCTTATAACGTCAACGTTAACTGATTTTGCAGGATCTTGATGCCCATTTCTTTATGCTTTATGCATTATGAGTTGTACACTTTTCTTAGAAGAGTGGTTGTTTCTGAAGTATATCTCTCTTATAGTTTTAATGTATATGCTTATTAATGTTCTATGCAGTTGAAGGATCTTTGAGCTCTACAAGGATGAGGCAAAAGGGTGAGGAAAGCAAGCTGAAATCCCCGGCGAGCATTGCCTTAAGTTCCGATCAGCACCACCCCACATTAAAGACTGGTAATTGCCAACTTTGTTGTCCTTTTCTTTTTTGACAAGTTTCCTCGAATCATCAAATGTTTTTTTTTCCCCCCCCCCTCAGGTTAGTAGTACCTAGGTTCATTCTTTCCTGGATACTTCTATTGAGAATACGAATTTCAAAACATCAAGTCATATTAGAATCGTGCTAGAATAAACAAAAACATGCATAAATGTGATCGAATATAACAGTTCAAAACTGCATGTTGCTTAGATGATGCTCTTCTTCTTCTTTTTTTTTTGCACCCTACCAGAAGAACCCACCTCCTTTTTCCAGTCTGTTTGATTGTGTTGATGGGTTAAATCAGTATTGATTGGATCCGCATGTTTATGCAGAGACTAAGGGGCTGCTTTATTAATGTGGGGACATGTCTTTATGCAATGCACAGCTTCTGATGCCTGCTTTCTTTGTCTCTCATGTTTGATTCGTATTATATGCTTTTCTGGTTCCTACAATTCCTTGGTATAGATATATTTTTGACTATATTGGCACTTGGCAGGATCGTTGTGTGGGCCTGTAGTTACTTGGGAATAAGATATTTGGTTTATATCTTCACGTTTATTTTGCAGTTTATTTCGTTTATGTTTCCCTCACTATATAATGTATTCATTTTTTCATCAAGGAGCAGAAAAGGTGAAGGAAACAAAAATAATAATAATAATAATAATGTTTACATTTTATCACTCTTTTTTATCAGACAAGTTTTCGTTACAGGTACGAGAAATGTTAGCATTATTCTTTTTTTTACTTTCTTTGTCACTCTTTATATACTTTTCATCTAAGTTCTTAACGGTTGTCATCTATTTGGTGGCGTTCTACAGCGTTTAATTTATTTAGAGGTTAATATATAAAATTTAAAAGTTTAGGTAACAAATTGTCAACTCAAAAGGATAAGCCTATGAACCGAACGGAGTAGCATTCTAAGGTCCCGTTCATTTCGCCGATTCAAATTTAGAATTCGAGTTTTGTTACAGTAAAAAACTCTTAGAAACAGTCATATTTAACTTTTTTGTTATAGTAAAAAGTTCTTACAAAAAGTCACATCTCAATTCGAATTAAAAACTCGATTCAACGAATTAAACAGGTCCTGACGTAAGCTTCATAAACTTGTATAAGTGGGTCCCATGAAGTGGGATGGAATCCACCGTGGCAAAGAGCAGGAAAGAGCTTTGCCCGTGGAAGAATGACGGAAATTAATGAAACGTTGACGTATTTGGAAGTCTGTCGTTAATGAAAAATCATCCGTCAAATAGTTTTTCCATTTGGCAATAAGAGTTGCTCCGTTTATTAGATCTCCCCTTGTGTTGGCATTATTAAACAAGGGTTCTTGTCTAATTGCCCTGACTTGCTATTCTGTCTTGCTTACCTACACAATTACCTATATGATTCTTTATCAACATATATATATATATATATATATATAAACAAAACAAAACATGTAGCTATATTAGATCCTATATAATCCTTTCAATTGCAACAAGGATGTTAAAACTAACAATGGAAGTACTACTACTTTGTTTGCTGAAATTTACATCAAGGACTATTACCTTTTGGGGTCACTAAATATTGAAGATAAGTATTTTACTCTAAGACAGAATGTATTACCGAACAAAAAGGAACCATTATGGTATGACATATAGTTTTGCTCCATCAATAGAAATCGTTTTTTTAATCAGTGAATTAGTTTTTTAACGATCAGGTTTGTAAATGTCTACATTAAAAATTTATAATGTCTGATACAAGACTGTTTTTACCTCACAACTTTTTTTATTTCAGATCAGACCGTTAAAAAACTAATCAACAAATAAAACACAATTCTTATTGGTAGAGTAAAATAACCTTCTCCGTCTAAATGCACCTAAAAAAATAACAATATCAAGCTAGAAATAAACATTTCACTTTAGGGAAAAGCGAGGAATAAACTCTTGGATCACCAAAAAAAAAAAATGCTCTAGATTAATGTTGAACTTGAACCCTTAATGGGTTGTTAAAGTTGCAGCTTAGTGTCGGCAATGGATTGAGACAGTGGAATGTCACATAACTCAATCGTCAACGCTCTATTATGCTTTTATGGTGGTTTTTGAGTTTTTATCAATGCCTAATCAAACTCTTTTCTTTTTTTTCTTTTTTTTTTCTTTCAAATTTTTCTAAATCAAATCAAACTATTAGTAAGTTGGATTTAAGATGCATAGGGGAATAGGGTGCCATGTCTTGGTCACATTAGTTACACATTCACTGAAAGAAGCACAATGGTTAGGCCTGTGTGGCGCATTGCTGAGATTTTTTTTTTTTTTTTTTTTAATTTTAATTGGATATACGGGTTCTCTAGGCCAATAGGAACAAGTGTGTATGGCCGTTATTTAATTTGCAATTCAGAGTTTCACATTGATAAATGGCTTTACTATGCATATTGTTTCTGTAGAATACAAATTTACACGACAAATTAATTTCTCAAGTTAATAACTTTTAATAGCACATTTTTTTGCATTTTTTAAAATAATTTTGAATTTTCTCAATATTGACATCAATATTATTGTTTCTTTAAGCTTGAACGCATGGGTGCACGCCAATATATGTGTCTAGAATTAGAAACGTCAAAAAAACTCTTTAATCATATTTAGAGACAGGGTTTAGAAGGGTACTTTGGGGATTTTAATCGTTCCAATTTCAATCTTGGTCAATAGTTCAATAGATTAATATTCAAAACAGAAAGTTCAAATGTGAGAGGTGTGAGTATAGTTTTCAGAAATATATATATATATATATATATATATATATATATATTATGTGAGAATATAAGAGCGAATTGTGTAAATTTTTATATGTTATGTATTTGCATACTTGTGTGTGTGTGTGTGTTTATGACGACTTGCAAGGTAAGACTTCTAATGTGAAATGTTTATAGGAGATATTCATGTTACAAAATTATGAAGAATAAATTATACCACATGGAAATAGCTAGGAGAAGTTGTGGATTTTGCTGTTAAATTGTGCTCTTTTTTTTTCACTTTTTTAGATGCATTTCATATTATCCTAACTCATAGTGGAAAAAATCTTTACTTTCATTTTCTTCTTCCCAAAGTGGACTTTTTTCCAAACAAATGACGCAAAAGAGAAGAGAAGAGGAAGAAGAGAGGAAAGAGTACTCTTTACTAAGGCTGTGTTTTGCTTTACATACAACGTCCATTTTTCACTTTCCGGTTTTCATTTTTGTTTGCCATATAAAAGTTGATGGCTTTGTTCCACCAAATATGATTTATGACTTTGCTTTACATTAAGCTTGGCCCATGAATTTCATTTTCTGAAAAGGAAATGTAATGAATGATGAGGCATTGCAATTTATAATTTCTTTGCTAAGTCCTATTGCTATTGTTAGAAAGGTAATTCTTTCCAAATTCACTCTAATTTTAGATACAGATCGGGAGGAAAGAAGATAAGGAAAAAGGAAAAATATTATTTCTTTCTTTTCTCACACGAGGACTAATTTTACGAACAAAATGAAAATTTAATTATTTTCGAGATATTTCATGAAAATTGAGCAACCCTTGAGATGTTTTTTGACTTTATTCTCATTAATAGGGGTAGTTAGTTATGTTTTTTCATACAATTTAGGATGATAATAGGACGGGATGGGGCAGGTATCCTTCCTCGATCTCCATACTATACTCAGATTTTATTCCTGATACCCTTAGTGTTGTGGAATCTTCACTAAGATAATTATATTCATACTCTACGTATTTATCCCATAACTAATTTTAGAAATGCTTGAAACATTATAAAAACTTAGAGAATTTCTTTTAAATTAATTAGGAAATTCAACAATATAATAACTAACATCTCATAAAAATAAATTGGAATCTTAATTCTAATTCTAAACTCTAACAATAATAAACCAAAGTCTTATAACTAAATCTGAAATCAAACATATGTAAGAGTATGTTTAATCGGGCCGGGTGGGCACAAAGTAGTTATCTCACCCCGTTCCGTCCCTAAATCGAAGGTTAATTTTTACCCCACGTACCCGCTTCTATCTTTGATAAAAATGTCATCCCTACTTACAATTAATTTGATCTTTCTCATAATAAAGAACTCACATATCTTCACCAAAATATGTCTCATATATATGAGAAAGATTCGGATTGAAAACTAAGAAAAATCCCAGTTTTATATATATATATATATATATAAGTATTGTTGTGGTCCTCTTGGAGATCATTATTCTGATATGATAATTAAAAGTGAGAAACTTCACGAGAAGCATAGAAAAATTATAACAAAAGCCCCTCTCTATATACCAATAATATCATAAAAAGATTATGACAAAAGCACATAATTTGTTATGATTTTGTGTTAGACATATTATTTATATCATTTTAAATAATTAAATATTATTATAGTTATTTTTTTTATTAATTAAATGATAATTATTTATTTTTAAGTAAAGTGATATATATAATATTCTGATAATTTTTTGTTTTTTTTAGCAAACGTTATTCAATCCTTAAAAAAAATCATAAAATGCCTCAGACTTAAGTTTTTTATTTTTTTATATTTGAGAATTATATTAGCGTAAATATTCTACAGGCACGACCTGGGGTGTCGGCGGATAATTCAACGTGAGCAAATTCCATTTCCATTATATATTTACCCAAAAAAAAAGAGAGAGAAAAAATCCCATTTACATTATATTATACAATTATTCCAAAGACCAACCAAGGTCTGCTTTTAACTCTTTTTTTTTTTTTTTTTTTTTTTTTTTTTTTTTACCGATAACTAAAAGCAATCATATCTCTGCCACTACGATCTACTGCAAATCTCAAACATACTCCTCTAAATTTTCTTCTTTTTTGTTTTTTATTTATTTAAAATTTCTCAAACCATATTCTCTCTCTCTCTCTCTCTCTATTCTTCATTCACTCGCTTTCTCAGTAGCACTCACTAGCTGGCTTAGCGTGAGTGGGGATCTCGAGGACTGAAGAGATCGAAAGAGAGCTTCAAATATCAACTACCCATTTCACTAAACATCTCTCTCTGTTCCTGTTTTTCAGGTTAGCTTTATTTCTTTCTATACGTTCATTCCTGTTTGTTTCGTTTTGTGTTTTTTGTATAATGTTTGTTCTTTGTGAGATCAATATGGGGATGAACTAGCTTTTGTTTGTGTGGATCTTTGTGAGTAACAAAGACGAAACTGGAATTTTTCTTAGTTTTCAATCTGGGTTCTTTTTATCTTACTTTGATCTGGCTTAAATATGTTAGATCAGTCTTGATATTTTGGTCACTTTGTTAGCTTGGATTTTCCGTTTCTGAAATGAAGTTTAACTGTTTTGGACTCAAGATCCCACATTTACTCTTTTCTTTTTAGCTGATTTGAATTGATATATATGTGTGTGTGTGTGTGTGTGTGTGTGTGTGTGTGTTATGTATTAAAGCACTGAAATTTCAGCGTCGTCATTGTCGGTGCTAAGATAAGAATTTTGTATGATTTTTATGCTAAATCTGTTGTTGTTATTTTTTTTTTTTAAAAAAACTAAACTATAAATGCACTATGAATTGATTTACGACATTTTTTCTTAATACTGGGAGTGAGTTTGTGTGGATAATACTTCAATTTTTCATGTGAGGTTTTTTTTTTTGGCTGTTTTCTTAGTTATTATTGCCCATGTTTATTAATTAAAAAATTCCAGTATTAACTTATGTGGAGGTTCAGAAAGAGAAGAATTTTTATGCCTACTAGTTGAAAGAATTATAGATTCTGTAGGCTCTAGAAAATGAAAAAAAAAAAAAGTAGTAAATTCGGTTTATGTGTCACAATGGGTGTGTTTTTAAATTCTAATCCCTTTCCCTCTTTTGTGAAACATAAAAATCACAAATTTTTTCCGTAATTTGCCAATCTCATAGGAATAGTGGCTCATAAATTTAAATTTGAAAGTTTTTTTTCCTTTTTTTTTTTTTTTTTTGCTTCTGTGGATCCATATGCATAGAAGTTCAGTTTCCTTTTAATAAGTCAATATCTCATTTTTTCCCTTTATTTTTTACGTAGCTAATGGAATTTTTTGTATAGTAAGTACATTGAGTAACCATTGATCATCAATTGCAAGGCAACTGGTTTTTCACTGTACTTCTCCTCTATAGGTTTGAGAGAATCATAAAACAGGATCATGGGTTCTAAGCATGCTTCACCCGGAAGCAAGCGAAGCCCGTTGTCTATTTTTGTCGTTCTTGGTTTGTGCTGCTTATTTTACCTTCTCGGAGCGTGGCAAAAGAGCGGGTTTGGGAAAGGAGATAGCATAGCGTTGGAAATAACTAAGCAGACCGATTGCAATATCGTTAATGATTTGGACTTTGAGAGTCATCACAATGATGTTGGGATTATTGCACCTTCTGAACCGAAAACAAAATTTTTCAAGCCATGTGATGTGAAGTTCACCGATTATACTCCTTGCCAAGAACAAGACCAAGCAATGAAATTCCCAAGGGAGAATATGATATACAGGGAGAGGCATTGTCCCCCACAAGAAGAAAAACTGCATTGCCTTATTCCTGCACCTGAAGGGTATACAATTCCGTTCCAGTGGCCTAAAAGTCGGGACTATGTCTACTATGCCAATGTTCCGTTTAAGAGTCTGACGGTCGAAAAAGCCAACCAGAATTGGGTGGAGTTCAAGGGAAACGTGTTTAAGTTTCCAGGTGGAGGAACAATGTTCCCCCATGGTGCAGACGCGTATATCGATGAACTTGCATCGGTTATTCCATTTGCAGATGGATCTATCAGAACAGCATTGGATACTGGTTGTGGGGTATGTTAACTATTTAACATTCATCTTTGTTATCCTTTAATTGTCCTCAATCATGCACATATCTCTATTATGTATATACAACGCGCGGCTTTTACAGTTTGCATAATCTATTTATATATTTTTCTAAATAAATAATTAAGCATTTGCAAGATAATTAATCTTGTGTTACTATGAACAAATACATGACATGCATTGTTTGATGGTGCTTGAACCCATTTTTTAAATGAAAATTGTAACTGTGACCAAATAGTTCTGTTCCCTGATTGACCAAATAGGTCTGTTCCCTAATCTGCTCGTTGTTTGTTGGATTAATGATACCGAACATCACATAGGTTGCGAGCTGGGGTGCATACTTGGCAAAGAGAAATATTTTGGCCATGTCTTTTGCACCACGGGACAATCATGAAGCACAGGTACAGTTTGCTTTGGAGCGAGGTGTACCTGCCATTATTGGTGTTCTTGGATCAATTCGTCTTCCATTCCCATCAAGAGCCTTTGATATGGCTCAGTGCTCCCGATGTCTAATTCCATGGACTGCAAACAGTAAGTTATTGGTTTAATATAACTTTAATATCTAAGTTTGAGAAATCGTGTTTTGATTTCTTTAGTCTCTGAAAGATTGTCTAGTCATTAATGTTTTATAGATGCAATAATATATGAAGTTTTACTCGTTCCCACCAAATCATAACCTTGTATGAATTGTCAGAAAGTCTTCTTAGGAGCAAAATTTATTCATTTATGTAAAAAATAAAGAGCCAAAAAGTATGAAGGAAATTTATGTGCGCTCATATATACAAGCTCTTTTAATTATTGAAAAACTAAAAGGTCTGCTTAACTAACTCATGGATTGGATGAATAGCGAAGATTGTTACAGTGTTTACCTCATGAAAATGTGAATATATCCCTGTGTCTAAGTGACCCTTCAGTTGTTATATCACCCTAAATCCTTCCCTTGTTGATGACTTCTATTGAAGAACTTGTGATGAAAGTTCAATTGTTAACTCCGTTGCCTTAGTGTTATTTTTTTCTTCCTTTTTTTCCTGACTACAACTTCGACATTCTCCTTAATTAGATTTGACATACGACGTTAGCACTTATGCTATATCGAAATCAAGTCCCTGCACTGAGTGGAATTTTCTCGTTTTATTGATATCAATTTTTTGAATTCAGGTGGTATGTATCTCATGGAAGTTGATCGAGTACTTAGACCTGGTGGATACTGGATCTTGTCTGGGCCTCCAATCAATTGGAAGACCTATTACAAAACATGGAAGAGGACTAAGGAGGATGTTCAGGCAGAGCAGAAGAAGATCGAAGAAATTGCTGAATTTCTTTGTTGGGAGAAAAAGTATGAGAAGGGAGATATTGCTATCTTTAGGAAAAATGTAAATGCTAAATCCTGCCGAAGAAAGTCCTCTGATATGTGTAAAACAACTGACGCTGATGACGTTTGGTAAGTTTCTTTGCACCATGATTTTCCATTGTACTTCCAAAACCATAATTCATTGTTAGGGAATAGACATTAGAGATCTCAAACGTTTACTTGGCATATCTTTGGTGTGTAATCTACGTCCGAACACATGTTTGTTCATGTTCAAAGATAAGATTGGATTAGTCCATTTCTACTTCTAAGCTTCAGGAATTTTAAATTCTTTCAGAAGTAAGTCAGCCTAAATTGAGGACAACCCTTTATGAGTGGCAACATGATAATGCAAAGAGACAGGACTTTGAACTTTCAATTGCATAGATTACGGTGATATTTAATTTGTTCTGGAAAACCAGATATGACCTCTAGCCGCATAGAAGATACGTTTCTTTTTCTTTCCACTCTTTCTTATTTTTATTTGGGTTCTGTTAGGTACAAGGAAATGGAGGCATGCGTAACTCCTCTGCCAGAGGTAACCGCTGCGAATGAAGTTGCAGGAGGGGAATTGAAGAAGTTCCCAGCTAGACTTTACGCAGTTCCTCCTAAGATAGCAAAGGGACTTGTTTCTGGGGTTACACTTGAATCCTACCAAGAGGATAACACGATTTGGAGAAAGCACGTAGATGCTTACAAGAGAATTAATAAGTTGATTGGCACCTCAAGATACCGGAATGTGATGGATATGAACGCCGGCCTTGGAGGATTTGCGGCAGCACTTGAATCAAGAAAATCTTGGGTGATGAACGTTGTGCCTACAATTGCGGATAACTCTTTGGGTGTTATTTACGAAAGAGGTCTAATCGGCATATATCATGATTGGTATGTCTTTAATAATCTTTGCCTTCTCATTACTATTTGAATTGGGCAAACACTACATCCCCCTCTCCTCACTCAAAAAAAGAAAAGCCTGCAAAGGGGCTTGGATTATTCAGGACAGTTTTCATGTTTTTCTCAACTTTACTGCCAAGAGAGTTATAATTATAATTTTAACTTAAAATTGCTGAATGATTTTTCAAGCTACTTACCACAAGCATTGTTACAAACATAAAGAATTTACTGCTTAAAATAACAAGGCTCTCTGATTAGGAATCTAAAGATGTACTTGTTCCCGTCATCTTTCAGGTGCGAAGGCTTCTCTACTTACCCGAGAACATATGATCTTATTCATGGTAATGGTGTATTCAGCTTATACCAGGACAAGTAAGACTCATCTCCTTTTTCTCAGTACCATCAATCATATTTGGTTTTCGCCACATTCAATTATTCTTCTAAGAAAATAGAGTACTTTGACATTTCAAAGATTTTAGTATTCATGGTCTTGTAAAATTTTTCATTTTTCTGGGATCTCTGGATGGTGTTATTTTTGCAGAAATGATTCATTGGTTTCCAACATGCTACAAGTGTTTCATATCCCCCGAAAAAGACCAACTGTTTTAGTCTGTCTTGTTACCAAATAATGAATTGCATGTTGTAGTTTGTGCTTCACTCAATGGTAGTTAAGACAATATGTTGATAAATTCACAGGTGTGAGCTGGAAGACATCCTTCTCGAGATGGATCGGATCTTGCGACCGGAAGGGTCGGTCCTTTTACGGGATGAAGTTGATGTCCTGAACAAGGTTAAGAAAATCTCCGCCGGGATGAGATGGGACATCAAATTGTTGGATCATGAGGATGGCCCTCTGGTTCCTGAGAAGATATTGGTTGCTGTGAAGCAGTATTGGGTTGTCAGCAAAGGGAACAGCACATCTACTGATGATGAGTAAAAGCAGGTCTACGTTTGGGCCCCCATGAAAGCCAAGAACATATATATATATATATATATATATATATATATATATATGTATGTATTACTGATTTTGCTTTTATGTTGACCCTATATGTATATGTCCAAAAGATGATAATCGTGGGGCAAGAAAAATGGCTATAAAAGTTTCATGAAAAAACATAATGTTTGAATGCTGCCTTAATTTGTATGTAACAATTACCAGATAACAAAATGGGTTTTAATTTGTTTTCAATCGATGTCATATATCGTAATCAAATTTCTTTTTCTTTTCTTATATTACAATATTGTATTTTGGATTAAGAAATAATAATATAAGGGACGTAATAATTAAGTAGTTAATGATATATATAATTAAAGAATAACATTTCACATAAATAGTAATTGTCTATCAACATTAATTTAACAGTACGTACATTGATATCCTTATGGTTTTAGTTTCTTTTTTCAGCGCTCTTCC